GAAGGGACATGTTTTGTCTTAAAGGGACATGTTTTGTCTAAAGGCACATGTTTTGTCTTGAAGGGACATGTTTTGTCTTAAATGGACATGTTTTGTCTGAAAGGGACATGTTTTGTCTTAAAGGGACATGTTTATTAGTGTCCTCAGTGTTAATTACCATCACTCCGATGGAAAAATTAGTTTCCTGAGTGTTAATTATCATCCCTCCAATGAAGTAATAAGTGTCCGATGGAGTTATTAGCATTGAATAAATAAACAACAATCCCTCCGCTGGAAACTATATTTCCTTCCGGTGGCCTCCTCTCCAGCGGAGTGGACCCAAAATGCTGCTGCGAACTTCAATCTCTCATATTAATATGATTTAAGTTTATATTTATATTTCAAAAATCAAAAAATAAATATATTTTAGGAAAAATTTGAAATAATTGTAATTATGGAGGGAACCATCGAAACTAGCAGCATGAACTTTCAGGTAAGATTTTTAAATTTTTAAAAATATATATTATTTTTGCTCTTGTGCAATCTTTTTTTTTTGACTATTCACAGTGCTAATTTTCATTGTTTTTAAAGTAAGATTTTGTGGAAAAATTAAAATTATCAAATTATATTTGGATAATACAGTAGAAGACAGTTCCAAACCGTGCTTATGTGCCACACCTGACACTGAGTGTCAGGTTTTGGCACACATGTTATGATCAATGTTTTATTTACTCGTCAATTGTGCTGAGTGCTAATGTCAGTTAAAGAAAATATTTCCAACCTATTATTAATATTATTCATTTTCAATTAAAACCCAAACAATTTTCAAAAAATCTCAAGGTTTTCCAATTTCGTACATATCATGAATTCGAATCTGGACGCTTTTTGGAACATAAACCAACTTATAAAACAATCCATAATTTGGAAGTATTTAACAATTTTGAACAGAATGCACTTTCACAATTTAAAAATTAGAACGAATCAATGAAAATATTTGTATCTTCTAAATTACTTCAACATTTGTTTGTTATAATCATCTGTTATGTACATTTTACAGCCCTGTACCTCGAATTGTTATAATAATCTGTTATGTACATTTTACAGGCCCGTACCTCCTATTGTTGTAATAATCTGTTATGTACATTTTACAGGCCCGTACCTCCTATTGCTAAAATAATCTTTTATGTACATTTTACAGGCCCGTACCTCCTATTGTTATAATCATCTGTTATTTACATTTTACAGGCCGTACCTCCTATTGTTATAAAACATATGTTTTGTACATTTTACAGGCCCATGCCCTTTATTGTTATAAACCATCTGTTATGTACACTAACAGGCCCGTGCCTCCTATTGTTATAATAATCTGTTATGTACATTTTACAGGCCCGTACCCTTTATTGTTATAAAACATCTGTTTTGTACATTTTATAGGTCTGTACCTCCTATTGTTGTAATCAACTGTACTGTACATTTTACAGGCCCGTACCTCCTATCTGACCAACGAGGTTCTTTGGGGACAGAGATTTGAACCAATGACCCTGTACAGAAAGGATCATAACAAATTTCAGGTTAAAAAATAATAAAAATGACTAAAAGAGGCTGTAGCCTGCAAGTGGTTAATGCCATAACTGCTGGCATGTACGAGTTATTTAAAGCATTCACTGATTATCGATTTCAAAGAGATTCTTATTTTTCTTTCTGAAAAGGTAATGCTTCGTCTATAAAATCATATATCCTTGAAATGAAATCTAAAAATTCAAATCAAATTGTTTTCCACGAAAAAAAATGTTAATTTAATGTTTATAAAACAATATTCATGATTACTAAGTTTTTAATTTCACCAGCGGCGTTCCAATGTTCAGATAGAAAATTAAAAATATTTTTGACATGCTTGATCAGACAGCAGTTAAAAGAGCTTTTTGTGAATTTGACATGCCAGGTCACCTAAAGTCACTTTAAATAACATAATTATCAATTTGTTATCTTTGATCTAAATTTCTTGATGTTTCATGATATTTCTTAAATGCATTTATTTGCAAGGAAGCTTAATTATTTATTCTTAAATTGTTTTTAGGTCAATTTCTCTGCGTTCAATTCTACATATGAGGTAAGTGTAAAATTTTAAAAATATTATTTTAAAAAAAGATTAAGTTTTTTTTCTATCCAGGTTGAGACCCCCCTTTGTTCTGCTAAAGAGCTGGATAACTATAACAGGGAAGCGAAAATACGATTAACAAATTATTAAAATATTTTTTTTAAACCACCCTTCTTGGTTCAAAGATTTCATATTTTAAGATTCAAATATAAACAAATTATTTTGAGACTGAACAAAATTAAACAATTATTTAGAACCCAATTAAAATTCCTAATTTAAAAAAAATTGCGGAAATCAACTGTCATTAATTGTGTTTTTTTTTATATTATTTTAAAAGTTATAAAAGCCCTAATATTTTATCACTGTCAGATATTAGGATTTAGGAATTTTTATTATAAACACTTGACTTGACTATTGTCAGTTAATTAATGTATTTTACAGACAAATATGTTCAATTAGTTTTCTTGTAATTTGGCTCGGTTTTCAGTAACAATCTTCTGAGGCAGCAACGGGCCCGATTATCTATGGTAAGTATCGGGGGTCCATGGTGGAAGGGTCCAATGTCACAAGGAATATAATGTATTTTTTGTTTGTTTTTATTAACTGGAAATTAATATTTCTAAGAACTACTATTAAATTTGACTGAAAACGAAATTGTAGGTTACATTCCATTTTTACCCTGAATGAGATATCCATGTTTTTAACGTTAAAAATCGAGTAATTTTAATCTGGAATCTCTATGAATTTCTGCAACAAAAAGGAATTGAGGAAATTAAAGACTCCTCAAGCTAGAAAACAAGAATATCAACCAGGAAACCTCTCTTAGAGAATATAGAGGATATGAGTCTGCACTTGAAGTTTATAATCTTGAAAACCACTAGTTAACTTCGACAAGAAAATCTCCGTCTTTCTTTTGGGAAAAATGTCTGTTAACCATATCCCTACTGGGGTACTTGAAAACCAGGATACTGTGGGGGGGGGGCCAATTTGCCAGTCTCCCTCTAAATCCCATGGTTGATGTCCAAATATGAAAAATGACACATCATTGGAAAGCTCTTGTGCTCTACTTTTAGAATCTGAAAAAAATGAATTTTTTTTTTGCAAAATCCAGTAATAGTAAAAATTTCTCCAAAAAAAATTCTGCACAAAATAGTAAAATATACATTTTTGAAAAGCCCTTGACCATGCTATTTCAAATATGGAAAACGTTTTGCAAAATTTTATATAACCTGAAGATGTGTGATTAAGAAAAACTAAAAATGTGCAAATTTCCCTTGTTTGCAATTAATTTGCAAAAATTTCTTTGCAAAATTTGTGCAATCCGTTTCCTTATGTCATAGGCTTTCCTAAAATCTAAATTTTATCAAAATCTGACAAGTGAAAGTGGGTCAAAACAAAGATTTAGTTTGTTACAGGAAAAAGCAGTCATTAAGGCAGTGTGCCTGAGGAATCAGGCAGTTTGTATAAAAGTCCAGTTTTAGGCCTATAGGGAGGGCTTTGGGTATTTAGGAAAAGTCAGAAAATTTCAACAGCCTCAGACCAATACTTTTTGAGTTATGTAAAAAACTACAGGGGGGGGGTCAAATTGACCTTCCCCCCAGCAGGAATAGGGTTAAACTCAAACCACAGATCCCTGTTACAGAGAAATATTTCTCTCCCACAACCTTAACCTCGTAGAACAGAATCTGTTCTCATTTGTTCGAGGAGGGAGGGGTGGCTGCTCTCAGGGTTTTGGAGTTACTCCCATAGTTTTGGAGTTGCTCCCAGGGTTTTTGGAGTTGCTCCCAGAGTTTTGGAGTAAAATGTGAAAGTTTATCCGACTTTTCATGTAAAGTTCTTTAAAAAGGCTACCCGAAACCTGAAAATTGAAAAAAGGGCTCTGCTACCTCTTTTTTTACTGTCTTTGTTAAGATATTTGAGGATAAAAGTCGCAAATTTCGGTTTAAGTTGCCTGCGGCAATCATATAGTTTTGATTGGCCAAACTGACGACATTTGTTTTAGCTTATACATTGAAGATAATTGGTAAATATAAAAAGAATATATTTTAGCTAGATACATAAATATTTCATTTGAGCTAGTCTAATACATCTCAACATCTTCATCAGTTATCTTATTTCCAAGTTGTGTAAAGAAAAATCAAATTTTTTTAACTAACACAATATTTTATTGATAGGTTCTATTAGAATATGCGTTTTTACTCAACAGTCTCAAGATAAAAGATTGTCCTATGTTGAATTTAGAGGTTTCTTTATGGCCCACACTATACCATAAATCATCAAATTATTGAGATATCTGAGGAAAACTAGGTTTATTCAAGATGAAAAGAACTCTTCGTCGTTTAAATGAATGATCAATTGAAATTACAACAATAGTTTCTTTAAACTATAACTTTAGTTACAATAATTTAGAACCATATCCCTCGACCTCCACCATCTGTTATGGCCGATCATCAATCTCAGTTTGGAGATCATCCGGTCCATCATCAACCTTACAGTCAACCTCCACACTATCCAGGGTAATTATTCTATTATTCTTCTTATGATGATATTAATAATAATAATAATAATAATAATGATAATAATAATAATAATAATAATTTAATAATAGTGATAATAAGGATGAAAAGATTATTTTCAGGTACAACTCGTATCTGATTTCGCCAGAACACATCCACAGGTTATTTTTTTAAAAAATCATTGAAAAGAATATTGAGCTTCTTTGCCAAATATTTCTATTAATAAGGTGTCAAATTAAACCTGAAAATTTTAACATTACCAAGCATAAAATTGAATATTTATAAAGTACTTCTTTGACTTCTCCGGAAGAATGATTTAATTTTTTACCTGCTTTTATATTAAAGTATTGAATATGCATCTTCAGTATTATTCTCGGCCGTCTTTCACTTGTCAAAAAGTTGGTCAGGGGTTTCGCTGAATCTTTTTCCGGCCCCCGATAAATCTCTTTTATAGAAGTGCAAGCGTGAGTAGTAGACAAGCCCCCCCGGTCAACCACCAGGAGTCACCTGGATTCAATCACCAGCAGACTGCCATGCCGGTCACCTCACCCCCTCCCTTGCACAGGTAAGCACAGGCTACCGTGCAGGTCACCTCACCCCCTCCCTTACACAGGTAAACACATGCTAGTGTTCGGTCACTTCACCCACTCCCTTACACAGTTAAACACATGCTAGTGTCCGGTCACTTCATCCACTCCCTTACACAGTTAAACACATGCTAGTGTCCGGTCACTTCACCCCATCCTCCGCACAGGTAAACATGGGCTACTGTGCTGGTCACCTCACATCCTTCCTTACAGAGTACTTAAATTAAGAATTTTCTATCTTAAATTTTCCTCCAAAAATATAACATGTCTTTATTTTTTCTTTTAATAGTTATTAGATTTTGTTATTTTAACCTTCCTCCGACCCCCGCCCCCTTCTCTAAAATTATAATCTTTAAATTCAGTTTGGATTCTGATTCTTCCATCGACATGTCTACAAAAAAGGAAAAGTTTGGATTAAAATTTTTAAAACATAATTTAAAAATGGACATAAAATAATTATTATTTAAGAGGCTGTAAAGAAAAGAGTTTTTAAAGTGTACCTATACCTATAAACTGGCATGTCCGATTTACATCTTAAGACCTTTGACAGAACAAGGATTATGTTAATATAATATTAGGGTTTCCAATCGCAATTCCGTTGCGTGCAATAGCGCACAACTGTAATAGAATTGCGCGCAATTGTTAGTAGATTACAGGGCTCGCAATTGCGCGCAAGTAAAATCCACTTGCGTTGGAAATTCTATATTATACAGAAAAATTAGTTTTGAAGATTTGAGGTTACGTTATACACTCATTCGTTATCATTGAACGAAATTCCCGAGCTTCCTTTTTGGGGCCTTAACTTTTGTCTAGATTTTGATTTAAAAGATTTGAAAAAATTGGAAAATATAAAGAAACTAAATAAATAAAATTTCATAACAAAAATCTATATCCACAAAACTTCCTAACCCCATTCGTGAAACCCGGGTTCTAAAAATGGATTTTATTAAGATACTTTATTTTAAGTTTTGGGCTTTGGTGTTCATTTACGATTTCCATGTGCACTAAATTTAATTTATTTTCACAATTAATGAGGTTTAGGAATACTAGTATAAAAGCCATGGAAAAAATGTCAAGACGACATTTTATAAACTCGATAGATGTGTTATGTTGCAAGTTCTTGGTTCAACTGTATGTGAATAGGACGTGTCCCTAACTAAAACTTTTAATTCTGTTAAAATCCTTTTCAAAGCTAATTTATCCGAAAAATGAGGAAATATTTAGCCTATTTACTAAACTATTGAAATATTTAGCCTATTTACTAAACTATTGAAATATTTAGCCTATTTACTAAACTATTGAAATATTTATCGTTTCGTTTTTAAAACGTCGAAGAAATAAATTGTTTTCGGAAAACCCGAGTTCAGAAAACATTCAGAACCTTATCTTCCTGAACAAAATGAGATTAATTGTCATAAAACTCAGATTCATTAGCGAAAATTGTTCAAAAACTATCGATTTTCGATAAAAAAAATTATCATTTTTTTAAACTATCGCATTAAGAAAAAGATTTAAGTTTAAAATCTATATAAACCCTATCACGAATCACGATGTGGGGGGGCACAGGGTAGGGTGGAGAGTGGTAAAACGGCAGGTCGGTGTTAAAAAAAATAGAAATGGTTAATAACTTTTTTATTTATTAAGCTACAGGGCTATGACTTATATTTGAAAAAGCCTTGAAAAACGGTTATAATAACATTTGTCATATGTTAATATTTGTTAAAAGAAAAATAACCAATTTTGAAAAAAAATTTTCGACATAGTTTTTCAATTTTTGAAAATCCTCTTTTACATTCTAAAAATTAAAGTTAGAGGTTAATTTCTTTTAATGAGCAGGTTTTGAAAATTTGGACTTGGAACATGTATCACACTCAATCTCAATTCTAAGGGCAAAATCATAGAGGGGGGGGGGGTAGAAAACACCCTCCATTTACATTAGTATTATTTAAAGCTTTTTAACGATACCTAAATCAGTATTTTGTGGCGCTTTGTGAGAGGAAAGATGTCCCAAAACATTGTAGATAAAAAATGTTCTCAATTTTCCCTGTATAAATATTCTCTAACCAATAAACAGGACAGGTGCCTGATGGGTGGTGTTTGGATCCACATTATACATATTGATGATTAAGATTGTTCAGTTTAGGGGTTAAAATAAAAAATAAAATAAAATAATTTTCTTTAAAAACTTATGGAAACATTCAGCTGTCTTGAAGTTTATA